TCTAAAAAACCTCAAACTTGCAAAAATATATACAAATAAACCTTGAATTTGAAAAACTATCATTCGATCCCCGAACTTGTAACTTGTCACTGAATAAAACCTCGAACTTGCAAATTATTGCTCTAATAAACCTTTGACCGATTTGACCACAATTTCAGGCGATCAGAAATCCACGTATTAACGGATTGCTGATGTCACCTTATACACGTTATCAATTTTAATTTAAAAAATGACATCAGCAATCTGTCAATACGTGGATTTCCGATCATTTGAAATTGTGGTCAAACCGGTCAAAGGTTTATTAGAGCAATAATTTGCAAGTTCGATGTTTTATTCAGTGACACGTTACAAGTTCGAGGATTGAATGACAGTTTTTCAAGTTGAAGGTTTATTTGTATATATTTTTGCAAGTTGAAGGTTTTTTAGGGGTTTTATCCTTATTATTATTATTATTATTATTATCGCAAAAAAAATATTTTATTTAATAAAAAATCCGAAACCGGCTCGAACCCGCCCGAAATCCTATAGAACCGGACTCTGTATCATCGATCCTAGACTCAAAAAATAAATGGATGGACCGGCCTGACTTGAAAAATTGTAAGCGTGAATTGAATCCGGTCCGAACCCGATTCGACTCGCCCATTTTACACCCCTACTTGTAAGGGCTCTATTTCTAGATCGTCATAAACGAGTCGAAACGTTGATTGACTCGGTGTGTTAGGCTTTGTCCACAACTCGTGATTAGCTTCACACACGTTGCATCAAATTTTCCAACCGAACGATGTTTCGTCTTCTCTCATTATGATATTGATCCAACAAAGAGAAACGAGAGAGAGAGAGAGAGAGACTGTCAAATTCCGAAATTCTCTCTGCCATGGCTCCTCTGTTTCTTATCCTCGTCTCTCTCCCACTTCTCACCTCCTCCGGCGAAGATCCGAGGCCTCTCCGCCGCGAAGTGTACGGCGGAGGGAGGATCATCGACGTCACCCACCGGGTGTCGCCGGAGTCGCTGGTGTGGGGAAACGGCGGCGCTGGATTAGGGCAGTATCTGCGGCTGAGGAGGAGCATCAAGAACGGCAACAACACCAACTCCTCCGTCATGAACCTATCTGTCCACACAGGAACCCACGTCGACGCTCCCGGCCACTTCATCGACCGCTTCTTCGATGCCGGTTTCGATGTCGATTCTCTCGATTTGGATGTCCTCATCGGTTAGAATCCTTATCCCTCTTCTGTGAAAAAAGTTTCTGTCTTTTTGGGTGTGTGTTCATCTACTTCCACGGGAAGATTCAGCGACCTGATGCTCATGTGTCGAAACAGGACCTGGGTTGTTGGTTGATGTTCCAAGGGACAAGAACAAGATCACAGAGGTCTCTCTGTTTTTTCTGGGTAATTCTCTGTTGTGTTATTGAAATGAATGTAACAAGTTCTGGGATTTGTTGTTCTTGCCATTTGCAGCTGAAGTTATGGAATCTCTTAAGATTCCAAAAGGAATCAAGCGTGTACTTTTCAGGACATCGAACACTGATAGGTGGAATCCGAAGAACATGAATTCTGATTCATATATACATATATATATATATATATGTATGTAACCATGTAAGTATAATTGTGCTTCAGAGCCCACACGTGTGGTGCCGGTTGTGCGTGTGGATCGGGATTAGTCTGGGCCCTTTGGGCCTGGGATTACCCGGTTATCAAAAAAAAAAAAAAAATTAAATAATTGTGCTTCAGAGGGCTAATGTACAAAAAGGAAGAGGATACGAGCTTTGTGGGATTTTCAAGTGATGGAGCAAAATGGTTAGTGGAAAACACCGACATCAAACTCGTTGGTACGACCAAATCATATAATAATAATAATAATAATAATAATAATAATATAGTTCATCATGTTTTCAAAACATTCTCTTTTTATTTTCATCTGATTTAACACACAAATTGCAGGAATCGATTATCTTTCTGTCGCAGCTTACGATGATCTTGACTCTGCACACATTGAATTTCTCAAGAACGGGGTAGGACTAGGTTTCTATCTATCTGTGTTTTAAAAATAAAAATAAAAATAAAAATAAAAGACTGAAAATTTGTAATTTTATTTCATGAGAGTAGTTTTTATTTGTTTTTATTTTATTTTTTTTCAGGAAATAATTCCTCTTGAAGGGTTAAAACTGGACAATGTGAAAGCAGGGTTGTACTATGTGAACTGCTTGCCGATGAGATTGTACGGCGCCGAAGGATCTCCTGTTCGATGCGTTTTGATTCCTTGATCACACAAAATCTTCTGTTTCCTATTTTTTTTTCTGTGCATTATTATATCCATGTTGTTTGAATAATTCTTATGGTTAATACGTAACCATCTTGCATGTTATAACACTAATTTGATTTTGGCCTCCATAAAATGAAAGGGAGAATCGACAAAAAAAAAAACCCAAATTTATATATTATGATTTTTTCGCATATAAATCCCCGAATTTCTACTAAAGCTATGTAAAATATAATTTATAATTCTTGGTTTTAAGAAGTTAAATTTTATTTCGATTTCTGAAAAAAGAATTTAATATGCAATTAAATTCGTTTTGTTAGGATTTATATTGAAGCCGCTTCACATTAAAGATTTTTTGAACCGGATCAATGCATGACTAAATTCGTTCGCATTCACTTTCATTCCGATTTTAAAAAAATCTAATTAAATAAAAATAATCTGGTTTCGGTTCTGTTTCGAATCGAAATAAATTCAGACCGATAAATCGAACCAAACCGGATTAGATTCGGTTTTAAAAAATTCCTCCGCAACTTGGCCATTTTAATCACGAGACAAAACTGGCGTATCTATCTACAGCAGATTTTCTCTTTCCTCCTCCACAGCCTTCCTTCCATGGCTTCACTCTCTCTCCTCCTCTTCCTCTCACTCCAATCTCTCTCTTCCGCCGTCTCCGCCGCCTCGCCGGAGAATCTCCGCCGTGAAGAGTACAGAACGGGCAAGATCTACGACATAACACACCAAATACGACAAGACTTGCCCTCCAAAGCCACCGGAGACAAAGGCCTGGGTCAGTTCCTATGGCCGTCGTCTCGCATCAAGAACGGAAACTCCACGAACATGTCGACGATGAAACTGACCGTTCACTCCGTCACCCACCTCGACGCTCCCGGTCACTACATCGACCGCTACTACTTCGACTCCGGTTTCGACGTCGACACTCTCGACTTGGACGTCCTCAACGGTCCTCTCTCTCTCTCTCTCTCTCTTTCTTGTTCTTGATTTCTCTGCTTCTGTACAGTTGTGTACGTATACGTGGATGCGTTAGGATATAATTCGGTTTAGTCCGGTTTAGCTTGTGTTTGTTAGGGTATTAAATGTTTCCGGTTTGGTTATGGTTTACTCTGGTTTAGTCTTATTTCTGACCGAAACATAGATTTGACTTGGAAGATTTGGCGGGTCTGAATTGAGTAACAAAAGTGTTGTGATTGCAAAACAGGTCCTGCCCTTTTAGTTGACGTTCCAAAGGACAAGCACACAATTACAGGTAAAATTATTTGTTAATATGACGTCTAATTTGTAAGTATATTTTGGTAATTAATTAAGCTAATTACGAGTTAAAATGTTTGTGGGATTAGACAGCCGAGGTGATGGAATCTCTGGATATCCCAAAGGGAGTAACACGAGTGCTCTTCAGAACATCCAACACTCACAAGTAAAAATGATTAATAACATAACATAAAAATGATTATAACATTAAAAATTATTATACAAGTTGATTATTTCGACCGTCTATACCATAATCAAACGAGAAAATTTAACGTTTTCAAAAAATGTCATCGCGTTGTGTTGTGTTGCATCAGACAACTCATGTATAAGAAAGAGTACGACAGGAGTTTTGTGGGGTTTAATGGAGATGGAGCGAGATGGTTAGTCCAAAACACTGACATCAAACTCCTCGGTACGGATGCATCGCCGAATCTTGATTCATCGGTTTTTTTCTTTTGTCCATCTCGTTCGTTCGTGTTTGATACCGCTTCGTATCGTCTGAAATGTTTGCAGGGATCGATTATTTCTCCGTCGGGTCGGACGATGATTCCAAACGAGCTCATCTCGAGTTTCTTGAGAGTAGAGTAAGGCTCTGCAAGATTATAGCATATCATATGATCACCTGCAGAAAGATATCGTGGATCGTTATCTAATGATATGTATGTCGTTTCGCTGCGGTATATTCAGGAAATAATTCCAGTGGAAGGTCTGAAACTCGACGACGTTCCTGCGGGATTGTATTCAGTTCATTGTTTACCGTTAAGATTGTTCGGAGCAGAAGGTTCACCGGTCAGATGTATCTTGATAGAATGATATATGTATATGATTTTATGTATGTCTAGTAACATTATACCATAAAGGGAAGAGATTGGTCCATGTTCAAGATTTCAGACTATGTCTAATAACAGTGTACATGGGGACTGGTTCTTGGGAATACAATTCTCAACGTCTGCTTCACCAATTTTGGATTTGGATGTAATTTAAGAAGTTTTGTGGGAGTAATCTAGAAGAATCTATAAATATGGGGCTTTTGTGTAAATTGCGCTTTATGATATTTGTTGTTTGCTTATATGTATATCCACACAACAAACTTCGCTCAACAAGTTCCGAGCTTTGTGGAAACCATGGCCTCTCCTCCATTCTTCGTCGCCGTCGTTATCCTCTCCATCCTCTCTCTCCCATTCTCCGCCGCATCTGAGGCTTACCCGTCGATCCCTGGCACCGCTTCCGTCACCGGAGAATCCGCCGTCGAGCTCAAGCCACTCCGCCGCGAAATCTACGGCGGAGGAAGAATCTTCGACATCAGTCACCGGTACACGGCGGATATGCCGTCGTGGGACTCGTCGGAGGGACTCGGAGAGTTCCTGAGACTCGCCGCGAGTATGAAGAACGGATCCATCGCTAACAACTCGGAGATGAAGCTTCCGACGCACACCGGAACCCACGTCGATGCACCAGGCCACGTCTTCGATCATTACTACGACGCCGGTTTCGATGTCGACACGCTCGATCTCGGAGTCCTCAATGGTATTATCCAATTTTTCATGCGATCCTCGATTCATTTTGCCTCTTTTTTTTTTTGTGAATTTTTGAAGATTCGAGTTTGGTTTGTTAATTAGGTCCTGCGCTTTTGGTTGATGTTCCAAGGGATAAGAACATAACTGGTAAGTGAAGTTTACTTTGGTGACTACAAATTGAAAAGTTCGTCTGCTGTGATTTTGGGTGAGTAATGGATTGCATAGCTTAGTGGGTAATAATGATTTGAAGACACTGAGAACTGCTTTAACTATCAGGTTCTGGATTGAAAAGTTTGTCTTTTTTTTGGAATGATCAGATAATGTTTGTCATGTTGCGAGAAAATGATTCGGATAATGCTGAAATAATGCTTGGTTGATGGGTTATGTTGCCGTGCTTCTGACTTATTTTGTAGCTGAAGTAATGGAATCTCTTCATATTCCTAAGGGAATTCGTCGTGTGCTCTTCAGAACGTTGAATACTGACAGGTAAATCCATTCTTGTGCTCTGTTTTCTTGAAAAAACTTTTGATGAGTTAAAGGATGACTAATCATATTACTGTTTTTTGCCTGATCTTGATTCTTAGGACAATACAACAGTTACTCTAGATTATCTGTTTAATGTTTTGTATGGCAAAGAAATCTGAGAACTTATCCTTTGAATTCACTTCAGTTATTTTGTTTTTGGATTTGAAACCCGTTTCATGGGAGTTTCGGTAATTCTTTGCTCGTCCACTGGACTCAGTTCCCTTCGCTTTAGTGTTTCGTAGCATCTAAAATGAGATCAGAGGCTTCAAATCTGAGTATCCAAATCTTGACAAAAAATTTGCAGGCGACTTATGTTTAAAAAAGAGTTTGATACAAGCTATGTGGGGTTCATGAAGGACGGGGCGCAATGGTTGGTAGACAACACAGACATCAAACTTGTTGGTAATAAGCTGCTGACCTTTCATCTTAATCGAAGAGAAGGATAGATCAATGGATTTTTCTTTGATATATTTCCCAATCCATTGTATTTCTTTGCCATGTGTTCTGCCAGCTGAAATGTTGTTTCTTGTCCTGTAAAAACATAGGGGTCGATTATTTATCTGTTGCTGCATATGATGATCTGATCCCATCACACCTAGTCTTCCTTGAAGGCCGGGTAAGCGTATATCCGTTCTGCTTCCTTTATCCATGATTTAGTTCCCTGTTCGATCTGAACCCAACTCATGATTATAGAAGAACATGCCTGATCCAAACAAGTACCATTGACCCACTAAATGAAGTGTTTTGAGATGATTACGGAGGATATGTCTGATTCGATTTACCCAGAAAGATCCATGCTTTGCAGGAGATCATTCTTGTTGAGGCACTGAAACTCGATGATGTGAAGGCAGGACTTTATTCCCTCCATTGCTTGCCTCTAAGATTAGTTGGAGCCGAGGGATCTCCAATACGCTGCATCCTCATTAAGTGACCATCCACCAAAGTAAGTTGTTCCATACTATATAATTCACAAAACCGAGATTTAATCTTGCCAAAAGATGACCCTCAGTTGAAACACCGGTATAAGTGACTTGAACCAATGTTCTCGGTTCACTGTGGTTTTCATGTCAACAGGGCCATTATGTAGCGGTAGGAAGGAATAAGACATGGTGGGAAAGAACAGATTTAGGAAAACCGGGATGGAAGCAGAGGACTGTTGTGTATATACAAAAGGGTGTCTTCGGCTTGCAAATAAGACGGTCGGAAATAAATAAACATGGTGCTCCAAGTTTCAAGTTATCGGTATTATGTAAGATGAAACCTAAGTTCATAAACCTGAATCAGCAGGGGGTCTTCTTGTAGTGGTGGATGAATGTATGTATTGGAGCAATTAGTTGTTCAAAGGAACCAAATACTCCAAGGCAGAACGCTCTCCAAAATGGCTGTGTTAGAACAGAACATCAAGAAATATAACCATCGTAAGTTCCTTCAGATTCATCCCCATGTGAAACCATCATCAAGCTTGCAAGAAGCTCTTGGTACTTGGCACCAAGGAGAAGACTCTGGATGGAGAAGAGGGCCTTTTTTCATGACCTCCGAGTTTTCGAGGTTATTGTTGAAGGACCTCTTTACAAGATTATTCGTGATTATTGCTAATGAATGGATTGTGGTGGCTGATCTTGAAGCATACTTTTACGACCATGACGGTTCTATATTCCCCGAGGAATGAACCGGTCCGAATCAGAGCTTCTCGGCTGGTTCTCAATGCGGAAACAGAATCTGCACTCTGTCCTGTCTCTCGAAAGACAGTCGCGGCTGCTGATCAGTTTTGTGCGTCGTTAGTTCAAATGGAGGTTTCGAAGAGTTGGTTGTGAATCTAAGAAGTAAGATCATTGATATATCCATTAACCCTCGAGGAGTCTGCTTTCTTGTCCTCTCCCTCTCTTGGAACAATGTTTGATCAAGAAGAAACTAAGTTGAACTTGGCTTGTGATTTTGCCCATGTGAAGATCTTTCTGCTTGAATCTAATGATATTTGAAAGTGTTATTTATGCCACTGGTTATGTTTTTTTTTTTCAAGACTATTGGTGTCACGAAAATCTAAGAAATTGATTGGGTATGAGTACAATATGATTGGATATGAATGTTAAATGAAAAAAATAATTGAAGGAAATAAGTTATTCAAAGTATTTTGGATTTCTTTGGATAATTTTACCCATGGCACCTAGCAGTAAAAATAGTTCATACAAAAGTATTAGAATGAGGAATTTATGAAAAATTACCTCAACCCATAATAAACAGCACAAGAAAAAAAAAGGCATATACATATATATATATATATATATATATATATATATTATATGCTACTAATTAGAATTCTTACTCTTTTTTCAATTGTTGTAGACTTTAAAAAAAAAACAAATTGTAAACATGGGCAACTAAAAAACATTTGAGAAAGATCCTCATCTTATCTTATCACTTGAGAATTTTAAAAAAAAAAGGATTACAAGTTTTTTTATTTTTTATTTTTAGACATGTGAAAGAAAACAAGTGTGGTAAGTAAAGATGCGGGGAAATAAGAGGGGGTGAAAGGAGATAAGGGACGACGGGTCAGCCTTAGACTGCCAGAAGATACCCAAAATCTTTGTCTGAGAAGCAGACATCCTTTGCAGTGATGAGACAAACCAAAGCCCCCCCCCCTCCCCCCTTGCAACACTTTTTACCATACATTTGGGGGTTAAGGTTTTGTAGATGGCTTCGTCATTTCTTTTTTTAAAATAAAATATCAAATTCCAAAAATACCTTATTGGTCATTTTTCTTTATTGAATGTATAAATTGACCCTTGAGTCCTCAGACCCCAAACCCCTCGAATTTCTCATTGCAATAAATTCTTTACCCCATCATAGGTTGGAACAGTAATGGAGCCTCTAGATACTCTCATCTACTCCATCTCTTTCAATAAATATTTATTCGCTTTTATCAGGTCATATATACATATATATGATTATGAACGCATTTTCATGCTTGAAATTTAGAATATTTGATTCTGTTGTCTTTTTTACTGATACATGAAAGTTAAAATTACCAAAATTACAGCCCAAAACAACCCTCCAACTTTTACTTTCCCCTCAAGGCCAAAAGCTTGTATTTTAATATTTTAATATTTTAATATTAAATACAGTTATATCACAATGTATTGGAATCAATTGATCTCTGTGTATTGATATGTACATCAATCCCTGCTTTCATGTACAATATGGTACGAGAATGACCAAACCCCCAAAAAAAAAAGGGTTAGGACTTCGTGGATATTGTCATGTGGTCTCTGTGTTTATCATTGCCACAATGTTTATTTTCCAAAACATATAGTCATTTGGAATATAATAAAAGTATAAATTTTGGTTTAAATATTCATTGAATATGTCAAGTACAAAGGTAGTCTTGGTAGGTTAGAACATATATATATATATATATATTCTTACAGCTCACGAAAGATGCGAAGAAGCTATCAGTTCATTTAATAATTTGGTAATATATGGTTTATTCGATTCGTCTGTAAAGTAATTTCTAAATTTCCGACATTTACTCAATAGGGGAATTAATATGTACGAACCAACGGTCAATTTATCGTATACGTACGGTCTGTGTCTTTTTCACTCTTTAATCTCACAGTATATGTAAATCGGTAAGAAATTATTTTTTTTTTTTAAAGAAGAGAAATTAATACATAAGTGCTTAGGTGGACTTCAGGGTCACATTATAGAATATGACAAAAGACTAAAAGTGGATCAATTTTGTCCATTAACGAATTTGGACAATACAAAATACAAACTCTCGTGAATTTGATTTCTCTGGCCGTACCAAATTTAAATTCCATGACATGGAACGGAATCATGAACATGACTCGAGTAGATATTTCAAGAAGCATCGTTTAGAAATTGTTTATATGTTGTATTATATGCATATATATATATATATACTCTGATATTCACCATTAAAACATAATCACTGTATACATATATATATAGATATGTATGTATTGAAGTGCCGTTCAAAAAAAATTAAATTTGGAATTTAGTGGAAAAATTATGTTACCCTAATTAATATCAACGTAGGCTTATGCATGTGTTTGGATAAACAGCCCTATATATTAAAGGTAACGCGTGCATGCATGGAAGTATACATATGATTAAATCTTGGATTCCTTATACATTCTAAACATGCTTTTAATTTTCACAAGTGAAACTTTTTATTGCAATTTATTTGGATTTATTGTAACGTCTAGAACATGCCAAAACATGGATCGATCGATCGATATATGATATATATATATATATATAGTGCTAAAATGTTTCGAGAATTTTTTTTTTGTTGGTTTCTTGTTGGTTCTATGCAAAAACGTGAGAGACTAGGGTTTTGGCATCATGTATGAGATCGTGACCACTATTAAATGACATACATACATAAATAGAACATTGGATACCAATGGCATATAGTATCTCAACGCATTTTCATCGAACATTTACTGTTTTTAATAGAAATTAATAGAGTATATTCAAGAGCCATGCATAAATACCGAACTATAAATATCTTGATGTGGACCGCCTTTATAAAGATGATGTTCATACCTTAGGAAAAAAAATAACCCTAACATTCACAAAACAACCATATATATATATATATTAATTTAAATAAATTATTTAATTTAAATTTTGTTTGAAATGATAACGTGATATAATTATGATTGATGTGTTCATTACTCGGAAGTCATGTCATTGTCATATCATCATTTTGTTTGAATTGATAGACGCGGAAGATTTTCGGCGAATTTTTAAAAGTTTGAAATTTTACGGATTAATCATACCAAATATAGGGTTTAATTGGTAAGAAAAAAAGTACATATATTCATAGTCGTATTATTGACACATATTAATATGCATTCGTTCGCAGTAATAACCGTATAGTTAAGACAACATGCATTGCTATATGTAGTAATTGTACCATGCATTCAAATAAAATTTCTATTATTGTGGTAGAGAAGATGCCAAAGATGGCATGTCCTAATGAATGCGTATACACATAGTCACATACACACACACAATATATCTGATGGGGCCATTACACAAGCTTATACGTATACCTATACAAAGACATTTACATATCTGTGTATATACGTACATATGATGCATATATACAATTATGTGATTCACGAAATTGATGTGGAGAGATTGCAAGAAGGAGATTGGGGCCTGCAAAGTCTGATCGTCTGAAAGAGGGGCCATAGGGACAGTTTCTGCATGCAGTCGCAGCACAGCTCAGGAACGGTACCTTCTATATATATATATATATATATATTCACAAAATTTTATATTTGTATTTTGTCCCACTTGCCTTGGACCATCTTTTTTTTTTTGTTATCATTATTGTGATAATTGTTCTGTACATACATATATATACACACATACACATGTATGTGTGTGTTCCTCTTCAATTTCTGAGACATACATTTGTTCCATTTAAGTCTCTGTGTGATATTTTTTTCCAACATTTTTTACTATTAATTAATTTATTTAATTATCATAACATGTTAATGATCATAGATTTTGCATAAAACAATTTATCTAATTCGAATTTTAATTCGAATTGAATAACTCAATTTCAGTTAAATTCTCTTCCTAAGTAGTTTTATGATATTTTTTTTTGATAATCCGGAAATTCACCGAACCCGTTTTATGATTTTATAGACGTACAGAAACCGAGAATTAGGTTTGTAATTTTTTTTGCTAAAAGGTTAAATATTAAGTTTGTAATTTTCGATTCGCTACTTAGTAAAATCGTTTTTACCGGCCAAATTTAAGAAGAAGATTATTACTACTACTATTATTATTATTATTATTATTATTATTATTATTAAAGAAGAAGAAGAAGAGGTCAAACGGAGAAAAAGATTTAATATCACAAAGAGAATGATCATATTATTCCATAATTATTGTTGTGGGGACACATTGACCTCTTTGCCCTTTATTTCCATGTTGGGTGCAAGCTGTTTTCCTTCTTTTTTTTTTATTTCGATTTCAACCTAACAATTTACATGAAATTATACTTTAAAAATATTTTTGTTAATAATATAATGAATTTTACAAAAAGAAATCACTAATAGTTTTTCTATAAAAGTATAAGATAAAATTGTACATATTTAATATAATTTTAAAAATTATAATATAGAAATTCTATTATTATTATTATTATTATACAAATGATCAATCTTCTCTAATTATGAATCACAAAATTTTGAATTTCTCATATATTTTTTTTAAAAATGCGAAAATAAGTTAGGAAGAAAATAATATTTTAGGTAAATTTTCCACTTGGGCGAGTTGAGTCATTATATGGTTCACGAGATGCAAGTGGTACCATGATAACAAAACCTTAAAGAGGAGAAAACCAATAGAAGAGACAAAACACAAAACACATTTCTCACAAGAAATTCGTAAATAAATAAACATTTTTTATATATGAACAAATAACCGAATATTTATTTATTTATTTATTTTGGTCTCCCATTTTTGAAACCTCCCAAAATTTAATTTCACCCGCATGCGCTTTTAACTTTCATGAATAGTGTACGGGTGGAGCTACGTGTCCTCCAAAATTTAATTTCACCTTTCTATTTTTATTATTATCATGTTTAATTTATTTGTATGAATCCGGTAAGCAAATTGGACAATCTACTAAAATATTAAATTAAAACCATAACTAGAATTTGTTTATCCATCAAAGTTTCATGCTTATAGTTTTTAAACATAGTCGATTGGCAGAATTACAGCCAAATACTGCTTTATACTAACCAAAATACAGTTATATTATTATTAATAAATATCGTAGGACACTGATATTTTATTGAATTTAAGGTTTGTTATGTTCATATTTGTTTTTTTGGGCAAATATATGTTAATATTTGTTAAATTACTGAATTTTGATAAATATAATATATGAATGTAATCTTCTTAACCATACATTAAAGAATTTAAATATGTGCATGTTTCAATGTCGTCGTCAGCGTCACATCTCCCTGAGATTTTTTAAAGATTTGTAAAATTTAAATTATTTACCTTATTTGTGGTCTTTACACATTTCACGATATATTTTTTTTCTCTAAAATTCTATCGAATCCATGTTATTTTTTCTTTTTCTAATTACATTATCATAGATTGCTTTCACTTGTTAGAACTCTAAATTAAACTATGCAATAAAACAACGAATCTTTCGAGATATATATATATATACCGGAACCCTTGAAACAACTTCAGTGGCAGCATTATGCAAATTCTACCAATTTGCTAATTAGCTTTCTTTCAAAATTAAATAGAACTAAGCCATTAATTAGACTTTAGAAAATATTGGATTAAAATTGAATAAAATAATAATTATTAGCCACATAAACCTGAAAAAATATACATAATACGTATTTTTAACTAAAATACTACTCTCCAAATTGTATTAACTTTTATGCAAAAACTTAATTTTAGAAATGGTTTCTAAAATATCTTGATATACATTTATTATTTCGGTTTGATTTTTCTTTAGCCGACGCTTATTTACTGTTTTTTTTTCAATGTTTTTTCTTGAACATAAATCTAATTTGAAATGTTTTTTATTAAAAAAGGATACACAGTATTAAGCAGAAAAAAAAATGATGACGTATTCACAACGTTAGCAAAGCAAAGCTTTTTTTTCTTTTATAATGAAATAAATTGGGAAAAAATATGAATATCTAAAAGGGAAAATTCGTGTCACACGTGAAAAAAGTTAAGATTCAATATTCTTCCCCTTCTTTTTTTTTTAAATAACGAAAAAATATTATCAAAAGGAGAGAAAAACTTAAAGAAGGAAAATATAAAATAAGAAAAGAAAAAGTGTAGAGAAATAGAGAAAATTTCACCACATAAAAGTAAGAAAGAAGGGAATCGGTCTTTCTATCGCTTAAAGAATTCAACATATTCTAAAAGAGAAATCACAAAGAACTGTACTTGGAATTAAATATAATATATTAGATCAATTATATATATATATATATATATTTAAGAAAAACAGTATTTATTTAAGTATTTTTGCATCAGTTTATTTTTTGTTTCTTTCCAATTTGTTTCATTTGACATGGCGTATATTGTCCATGATTCATATACTACCAAGAAAAATTAAATAATGATTAACTTTTTAACGACTAAAAAAAGATTAATTTATTTTACTTCAATCCAATACAACAATTTAAGATATTCTCCCATAATTATCAGCCAGCCCTCGCTTTACCAAAAACAATATCAAGTTTTAACTGCTGTTTTTTTTTTCCAAAATTACTTGAGAATAAATGCCATTTTTAGCTTTTTTTTCCCTACTATTTGATTTATTATGATAAAAATTCATAATGGATTCCCATCTATATTTAGAAAATAATATTGTAGTTAGATTAATAGGATTCTTAAAAAATAGCTATAAATTATTTTATTTTTTAATCGGTAGTGTAATTTTTTTTTTACTAGAATTTACGTAAGTATATTATCATATTCATAGTTTATGGGCTTTGACTATTTAGCTTTCTTTTTTTACCCGGAAAAATGGTAAAAATTATAAATACGAAGGATGATAAATACAATAGCCACGTGGCATCATCCCGGTAGTTCAGAATGGAAGCGGCTCCTTTTGGTGTGGCGATTCTGCCTCGTCAGATCTTCCAATTTAACACTACTCCGCCAATGGCGCGTGCATTTCACTTTCCCCTTCGCCTTTGCTTTTTATTTATTTTTAATTGTAATTATTTCTGCCTTTTCTTTTCCCTATAGTTATATCTATATTTTACATAAGAATGTATTGCAAATTTATGTATAACCTTTGTATGTTGCTGTATCTATCTTGTGAAAAATAATGATATAATAAATTGAAAATATCATCAGATATAAAAAAATTAATAAATATTAAAATATATAGATTTAGTTATAAACAATTTATACGTGTAAATATTACTATGAAATTTTAATATAAACTAAAATTTTAAAAATTGATCTGAAAGAATAATCTTTATTAATAACAAAAATTTATTAACAAAGTCAGAATACCAATATTTGTAAATGATATTTTACACAATAATATTTAAAAAGATTATTCTAAACAAAATGTTTTGGTCGTATCCAAAGAGCACATATACAACATTTTAAATCAACAAATAAAAGATTCAATTAGTTTTCAGAAGGTCAAGATGTTTTCATATAAATTTAATATTTAGATATTGTTCAATCGGACGAATATGAATGATTTTTTGTAGACAAAAACAAGCATATTTAGCTGCAACTGTCACACACGCGCCGCGGGCGCGTGACGAAAGAAAGGCCTTTGGAAGAAAATCTTAGCGAGATGGACAGTGTTTTCAGCTTTTGTTCTTTTCTTTATATGTGTGTATATATATAAAATATACCAAAAACATAATTATTTTTGGTGTTCGAAAGCGATTATCCGACCAAAAAGCAAACCTTGGCTCTTATTCTCACCAAGTCAAAGCCCTAATATCTTCAATTTTCTCCTAATAAACCAAAATAATATAAACTAACAAGATATAAATCTATCTTTACCCCCAAAAAAAGATATAAATCTGGTTAATTATTGCGAAACTCAATTCATAAATATTTTAACAACAAAAAATCATATAATTAAATATAACATACCAATTCAACTAACAAGGATTTACTTCAATGATTATAAAATATTGCATGTGATTATTGTGAAATGCATCGAGGTAAATAAGTCGCTCATATAAGTCAACCGGTAAAAATAACAAAGCTATGAGGATTATACGTTGAGCATAATTTTTCATGGGACCGGTCCGTTTATTTACATGAAACCTACGAGTAAAAAAGGTTATAGAACAAACAACTTGGGATTAAAACAGTATATGAACTAGAAAATGTCCATATATTAATTCGAAATATTATGTTCCCGGAACTTACAGCTGAAATTACAAAAGCCTCAAAAAAATTACGCAGAATATACGTGTCCTCCATGCAGTCAAATGTCACTTATACCCTCTTTCCAAGGGTACTTTTCTCTAACCCCCAAGGGCATTCCCGGAATTTCATACATGCGTGACTGGAACTTTGACTTTGAATTACCAAATTCGTTAACGTTTCGTTGTTTTTTTTGGATTCGAAGCATATTTCATAATTCAACCTTAAACGAAAATAAGAGCTCGCGATCTCAAGGACTTGCGACAATGACCCATGGAAAACGCATCGGTTTCTTCTTCTCGGAAGCTCCTCTAAGCTTCTTCAATGGCGGTGTTTGAGCCGAAGAACAGACCGATGATTGGTAGCAATGGCAGCGATAGGAGCTCGCGGACCAGGAATCGTTGGAGCTTTCGCTTCTGAAATACTTCGAATCGATGACGCAACTGGGACTACTCAGCGTCGATTCGTGAATCTTGCGTTTCCTGTGAATAGGGTCTTCGTTGAGATTCACTGGGAGTTCGAGAATGAGATTGTAGCAAGTCTTCACCTTTTCCTGTAAATGCGCGAGAGGTGTGTGTGAAAATGCCTGAGATGAAATGGGAAGTGTAAAAAGACTTAAACTTTAGGGTATAGAAGCGAACCTTGCTCAGTTTGAGGACAGCAAGGAGCTTATTTTGGTATAATTTTGGGTCAAAGGGCTCAACTTGCTCGATAACGTGCATCATAGTGGCTGTGGCGAGAACCGATGGGAGATAGCCGACAAATCTTGAATCTGACAAAAAAAACATGGAGAAAAAACAGACGAATGTGAGATACCCAGATCGGTAATTGATGAGAAACGATATGGGTTCGTCTTTGTTTTTCCTTTTTGTCGTTTATCCAGTTGTGTTATCGCACAAAAGACAATGTTTTGGGTTTGTGTCGTATTTTGGGTTATGCTTACCGGAGACAACAGAGAGAAGAAGACGCTCGCATCTCTTGAGGAAGTCCCAGTGGACATTGTTCTTCAGACCCAACCTCCTTATGATGTGGTCGAGGAACGAAATGGGAGAAACCAGATGCATCTTCCATCGAAGCGTAGACAGAATCAAGAGCTCCATTCTCTGTATTGTCTTGGCCTCGAACACATACTTCGTCTCCTCCACCTTGAACAGATACCAGAAAACAGAGAAAAATCTGAGAATCAGAGGAAAGAAGGTTACAAAAAGTAAAAGGATGGGACTTTCGTGTTTGTGTTGTGTCGTACTTGGAGGTCTACGAGAAGAGGGACTTGGATTTCTTCAACTTTAGCAGCAAGAGAGAGACAAGTGACAGCAACTAGTTGAAGCATCCATGGCTTGTCCCTCTGTAAGCTGTAGCTGCAGACGAACCTGTCGAGATAGTTCATGGCTAAAACTGCAGTCAAAGTCGAGAACCCGTAATGGGAATTCACTCTCAGAATCCAATCTACAGCTTCCTTCCGGTCCGAGGAGAGATAAACATCGTCAAGACAACTTAGTTCATGTTCTTGTTCTCGTTCTTTGGTGAACAGAGAGATGAGCTCTTCGTCTTCCCAGAACAAATCTTGGTCAAGCACAATAAACGGAGAAGCAGAAGAGAAAGAAGTGTTGTCTGAAACCTCTTCCACTTCTCCTTCTCCTTCTTCGTCTTCCCATGTCTCTTCTTCGCAGTAGAGAGCATCCAGAAGGAGCGAAGAACTTAGTTCTTGCTCCTGAACTGGGAACACTTGTGGTGCTTCTCCATTTTCCTTCGGATTCGCCATTGTTAATCTTCTTCTCACAAGAACAAGAACAAGGGTCTCACTGTTTTTTTTCCCTTGAGAATTCCCTTTTTTGTTTTAGGACATGACACAGAAGATGATAAGAAGTATGAAGATAGATGAAGGGTCTCTCGGAGAAACTCACATCTCTCTCTCTCTCTCTCTCTCTCTCTCTCTCCTGACCTCTCCCTCTCTCTCTATTTGTGGAAGCGTGCAAAGATAGCTACCAGAGAGCTACAGAGACACTTAGAAAGAGAGAGAGAGAGAGAGAGAGAGAGAGAGAGAAGCTGAAGAGAAAAGCTGATAATGGGAAGAAGCGAAAAGAAGGGAGATTGATTTATGAGAGAAGACGAGAGGTTTTCACGCTTTGTCTTTTACCCTCTAAATTATTGTTTCTTACGGTATATATCTCGAAGTATACACGCATATGCATGCTTGTATATGTATATATATATATATATATATATATATATTTGATTCATTTGGTTATTCAAACGGTGGGTAATGGGGTATCGGGTTGCGGCAAAAAAAATCCTTGTGCTTTTCGGTGCCAATGGCTAGAGGAGAGAGAGAAAGGAAATTGATCTTATTAGTTAAAGATTCATTCATTAACCCAAAAAAAATCACCGCATAATCCATTCTCGAGATAATAATTTAATGCATTTGGATTTTAAGATTCACGAATTTTATATATTTCTTGCTGTTAATAGGCTGTCACCGATATATATATCTATTTTAGAAAATCTTCTATATCCATGTAAAAATTTGCACGGGTCTAATGTCTAGTTTTGTAATTAATGTGAGTTCTAATTTCGTAATTTTGTGTGAAGTAGGTGTGATTTTGTTTCACCTGCACTTAATGTTTCTTTTTAATATTCGTTGGGGAGTATTTTATTATATTAGACTTAAGATATTAAAATTTGGTAATTTGGGGGGGGGGGGAACCGTGAATACAAGATGGTTTCTCTACCCAAAATATATTTTTATAAAAACAATTGGTTAATCGGATACTATGTTATTATTATTAAACATAAAAAAAAAATATTACATTTTTGGACAAATGATATTTGAAAAGGCATGAGATAAAAAAAAATAATGTTCCAAGGAAATGGATTTTAAGAAAATAAAATTGTTTGATTAATTGCAAGAGATAATGCAGAACACAAGTAAATTAATAAAGCATATATGAAGCAGCCATAAATTCCAAAATTTAGGCCTTGTATTGGATTTATGATATGACTTGCGGAAAACATTATAAAATATTTTGATACAACGTTCATATTATGTGTGGGAGAGTAAATGGATGTATTATATAGATTACGTAGTCTAGTCCCTAGTCCTATTCCTATATATCATATTCACATTTTGTATTTTCCGTATAATTTATATATTATATACATATTTTTGTATTTTTTAAATAATGTATGTATGTATATGACGGATACCTCATAAATATAACTAAAATCGTCGGGCACTGGATATGTTTTATTTTTGTATTTTTTTTTTACCAATGGTTGTTTTCTTTTACAATAAAGCGACGTTGAGACCAACGAGAAAAATCTTTGGTCGTTGGGTAGAAGAAGGGCCAACTCATACTTAGAGATTGGTGACGATTTTCTTTCTTATTTTTCTCAATTCACATAAATATTGTGAATTATGTTAAGTATAATAAATAGAAATAACTCTATTTCCCCGAAAGTTCTTAATAAAAAACTACAATAATTTTACCCGATTATAATGATATATATTGTTATGATTGAAATCTTCGTCGTTCTAATTTTTTTTAAAAAAATCACTAATTTTCTTAGGGATAACTTATATAGTGGAACCGTGTACAATTTAATAATAATGTCAATGCCAAATTGATTCGAAACGGATCAATAACATATATTTGAAATTCGCATTTTCATGCAGATTGTAAGTATTTATTTTGTTTAATCCAATCGAAAAAAAATATTGTTTAAAGAAACACAAGTCGAAGAAAACAAACATTAATAATATGATATCATGTAAGTTGACACCGTCGGATCTACGGCGGTGACGGTCACTCCTCTTTTGATGTGCATGTCTTGTGTATGCATGCATGCATATATATATTTCTTGTCATAGTATTTTTTTTAACGTAGTGAATTTTGCTAATATGGTATTGATATGTTGTTGATCGTAACAAATTTGAGAACATTTTTCAAAAGTTCATATATTTATTTAGAAAATTTTAAAATAAGCTACATATTTATTTTATTTAGAAATTTGAAATTCTATATATTTATTATTTTTAAAGTTCTTTTATTTTTAAAAATAATGTACTTATGTGTATAAATATGTTGGAAAATAATGTACTTCTAGCTAAAAAAATAATGTACGTAGTTGTCAATAACATATGTTGGAAAATTTGGAAATAATGTAGATTTATTGTATATATAAATAAATAAATTTTGAAGGTTCTTTTGTTTTATGAGATTTATTTTTTATAACAGGAATATAATATATCCCTGTCATGGATCTGATAAATCTTAATCTTGCAAGTTTGAGAGATTATGCCAAAGTTTGAAACTTCCAAAGAGACTTACGATAATGATATTTCACTTTCAAACGAAATGCTTTAAGGAAAGGAAAATAACTTGAGTTTGTACAATGTATATATATATATATATATATATATATATATTAACATTCTTATTATTATATCCACATCTTTTCAATGCCATTCAAATATTTTTTTTATAAAGATCCAATAATTCATTGCACACTTTCGATCCAATTACGTCTTTTGAATTTTGTAAACAAAAAATCAATAAATTATCACTTTACAACTCTCTCGTACACATATCTGAAATTGAAATCAAATTTTATCTCACTTCCCTCTCACATGGAGTGTCCTAAATTAAGACTCACACAAATCTTGGGGTTAGAGATCAATCATGTGATTTTAAATATACGTTCTTTCACCAAATTTAAAGTTTAAAATCAAGACGAAACATACGTTTTACATCCCGATTTCACCGTTAGAACTAAAATTTGAAAGGTTTGGACCAACATATTTCAGTCCGTGAATAACCCATTCGTCATTAGATCGAAATATGTAAGGCTTTATGTGGCAGCTTTGACAACCCAATTTTCATGCTTTTTTTAAAAATAAATTCCTGTTAAAAATAAATTATTAAATAAATGAACAGATATGAACGACCGTACGGTTAGTGCATGGGATATGTTGTACGTTGACTTTCGGCCCCGCCAAATACCACCATGTAAATTATTTTCAAGATAATTGTCACTCGCTAAAGAATGATATATAGTATATATATATATAATATATAGTTGTTTGTGTTTATTGTACAATTTTAATCATTGGTTTTCGGGCTTCTTAACAGAGTTGGATCCCATTTATATTTTACGCAGACATATTTGTATATTTTTTATTTGATTCAATGTGATTGTTATATTGCATCCTAATTATAAAATATCTGCCTGTAAGTATATTGTATTTTCTGGAATATTTTACTTTTATCTTTAGTGTAAATACATTATTAAAAAAAAGGCGTCAACAATTTCTGACTTGGAAACAAAAGGGTTAAAAGCAGTAAGCAGAGGCAAGAAAAGGTGAAAAATAAAAATAAATGGGAGTGGTTGCCAGCAAAGTCCAACTCATTCTGGACCATAAATTTTCCTAAAAAAAGAGGAAGAAAAATCACTGATTGCCTTTATTTATGTATTCTAACAAATTTAAAAAATTTATGTAAAAAATTAAGCGAAATATTTTTAAAATCGATATTTCTATGTACAAAAATTGAGTATATAACATGGTAAATTATACGTTTTCAACTTCTCATTCCCCTCCTAGTGTTTTAACTGAATATTTTTTTTATTTAAGAATGATTATTTGAGTGGAACCTAAAACCATAACAAAACGAATAATATACTCCCTCCGTTTCAAAATATTTGTAGTTTTAATTTATTTTCCATGTTTCAAAATATTTGTCATTCTACATTTCTAAGATAGTTTTTTACAATAGTTTCCAATTTTATCCCTCCGAAATTCTAATAAATTATTAGTGATAACATTATTTTTATCATTAAATAAGGTTACATGTGTCTTTTTCTTTCTTTTCTTAAAAAATGTGAAAAATTCTAAAACTACAATTAATCTGAAACGGAGGGAGTAATATATATAATGTGCTATATTTAAAATGAATTCAATTTAATTTTGTTAATGAAAAATAGAATTCCAACCAGGTTGGAGTAAAAAGTAGCCAATTCTTAAAATAAAAAATGAACTAAAATAAACGAACAAAATTGACAACTATGATACTTCATCCATTGAGTAACTTTCTAAATTTTTTTTTAAAAAAAAGAGTCTAAATCAATGGAAGACCTATTTATAGAAATCTATTAAATATTGCCACTAACAGTACTTTCCTTTGTTTCCCCCTATCTTCATGGTCTGAAGTTAACGTAGTTTGAGAACATGAACACCACTTTGGTTAGTATATATATATGTATTAATAAACAATATTATAAAGATTGTAAAATTCAGAGCTATATATATATATATATATATAACAGTAAATTCGGTCCTGATATAAAATCCGATAATTTTACTTTGATTTTAAAATCACTGTAAATCTATCATTTATTCTTTTGCCATACTTTTTCTCCAACTGTTCTGCCATATTTGGAACATTTTTTGAATATAAGAAACTTAAAACATTTTCATAGAGTGATGTGGCACCAAAGAATTCAAACTCCTTTTTTTTTTAATGTATCATAGATGAAATTTAATTAATCTAAATATGGATGAAAGTTGTAACTAGCTCATATAACACCATAATGAGAACTAGCTTTCATAATGAGTCAAGATATTTTTACCCAAAATAATTATGATGGTCCATTTTCTTTACATGAATTAGATGATGATGATGATGATGATGATGATAACTTTGTGCTATGTTATGTTTCTGTCTCGACGGTTAAGGTAATTGGCGAATTAAGAGACGTTTTCAAAAATTGTGATAGATTTAATTTACGTTGTTATAATCTTACTCAGTTATTATTTTCGTTCTTATCGGTTAGATTGCTTCCGGTGAATTAGATGCGTCGAACGTTATGAAAAATTTATATATGAATATGGATAGTATACATAATTTATACTAGGATAAAATCCCTAAAAAATCTTCAACTTGCAAAAATATATACAAATAAACCTTTAACTTGAAAAACTGTCATTCAATCCCCGAACTTGTAACTTGTCACTGAGTAAAACCTCGAACTTGCAAATTATTGCTCTAATAAACCTTTGACCGGTTTGACCACAATTTTAGGCGATCGAAAATCCACGTATTAACGGATTGCTGATGTCACTTTATACACGTTATCAATTTTAATTTAAAAAATGACATCAACAATCTGTTAATATGTGGATTTCCGATCGTTTGAAAATTGTGGTCAAACCGGTCAAAGGTTTATTAGAGCAATAATTTGCAAGAATTATAAAAAAATTCTTAAATTTAAAGTTAAATAAACTTCTTCGAATACACTACTAACCAAAGGAAAACTATGACCGAGTTGGTACAACTCAACTTAGGTTAAGGAAATTTCTTGCAATGGAATTAATTGTCATAGTCATATATACATATACATATATATATATATGCATGTGTGTATAAATAGAATGATGATTAGCAACAACCACTTAATCTTTTGCGATTAACCACCGGACAAAGACAAGATTAAGGAAGAATAATGAGTTTGATTAGCCTATGAATCATTAGTCATGTGTTCATAAAGTCAACGCGTATCAACCAACTTTGATATTCTTGTTTTTTCAAGTTTCAAAGGTTTTAGCCTCGGCGTTCTACAACCACACCACCACTTAATGTCTCATAATATGAACTCATTTGATTCCCCATTCAAACAGTATTATTAATTATAATTTAGTCGGAAATTATGTGATAAATCAAGATTTTATGAGGGGGGTATTTTCTTCTATGTAATGAACCGAACGAATAATGAAAATAAGATTTGGATGTATATATGTTTGTAAACAGTTTAAATAAAATATGTCTTAATTTTTTTTTTCACCTTGGACCCTGCTGTAAATGCAGGTTAACTTTTTCTTATTACCGGGTACACAATGAGTGGATTCAAAGTAAATGCATCATATTCATGAATATATATATATATATATATATATATATATATATAATGTATGCATTTCTTTTGCCCGTTCTTTCTCATGAAAAGAACAATATAAGGTAGTTGTTCTAATAACCAACCTTGACTCTTTAATCACTTGTTTATTCAATGAATCTTCATACATAACATAATTATGCATGCCCATGTTCATACTTAGATTAATTATATCATAACTTTTAGAATTTTGACATCAATTCTCGCACACATTGTTAATATATATGGTCGTCCCTATGGAGTTTCCAGCAGACAAGGGTAATTGAAAGCATCTTTTCTTACATGTCATAATGTTATATGACAACACACATACACAAACATATATATATATATATAGGGGAAAATTTCCAAAAAGTAGGTTTGTATTTCTAAGAAGGAAATTATTATATTTCCGGGATTTAAAACAACTTTATATTTTGATTTGGGAATTTAAAGATTAATTGGGTTTTTAATTCTAACAATCCATGTAAATTTCTCATATTTTTCAATACAGTTGAATTGATGATAACTTCATTTTTTGATGTTTTTAATGAGATTGTTTTTGTTATTAAATTCATGATTTTATGTGGTATTTTTTCTTCTTCTAACAATTAATAATATGTGTAGATTCAGATTGTGAACAAAGGCTCAACAAGAAGTCCACGAGAGAGATGAGAAGCACGTGACGTGGTGGCATTCTTCACCTAAACAATATACGATTTTCAACACCACTTAAGAAACCCTCTGGGTGGGTCAGCGGGTTCGTAAAAAAAAAACACGTCCTAAAAAAGATATGTCAGATGCTACACAAACATCCTACTAGTTATTATCGAACTCTTTGATACGACAAGAGCTTTGATTCCTGCGTCAATTGTTGCAACCACTTGACCGATGGATCGTGAAATGTTCTGTAAATGACGATCCAAATACGAGGTTTCCAAGAACTTCAATATGTGAAAATTAGAAGAAAAAAACATTATCATATATTTCGTAAAAGGAGATTTTTATCAACACTTTCAACAGCACCCAGAAACAGTTTCCTGGCAAAAATCCCACTTCACCGAACCTGATCATACCCATGAACACGACGATCCTACTGATAAGTGTATGTACATTCAAACAAACTCGTTCCGACACAACTCCAGATCCCGGTTCTCCACGCCTTGGAAAGATCGAGCAGCTCAGTACGGTGGAGGCGGGTATTGTCCCGGATAAGGACCTAAAACGGAAAAAACCCGAAAACAGTATCTATCAGATCATCTGAACAATGATGCAAACAGTTCGTGATCAAAGACACAGACTTTGATCAGATTCGGCAAACGTAACCGTACCTGGTGGTGGGTAATATGGCGAGGCCTGAGGAGGGTATGCAGGTGGGGGGTATGAAGGAGGATACGCTGAAGGAGCCGGAGGGTATGCTGAAGGAGCCGGAGGGTATGCTGATGGAGCTGGAGGGTATGCCGAAGGAGGAGGGGGAGGGTAGGCGGATGGCTGAGGAGCGTAAGCCGAAGCTGGGGGATATCCGGTTGGTGGGTACTGAGGGTATGGCGGAGGGACCGAGTATGGAGGCGGAGGTGGTGATGCGTACGGAGATGGAGCCGAGGCTGGCAGATGAGGTGGCGCCGCTGAGTAGGGAGGTACTTGGGGCCCGTGAGAGGTGTATGGTGGTGCCGACGGGCCAGTCGTGTAATCGTGTTTCTGCATTAGAAGATGAACTCGGTATTTAACTACTATTCCACACAAGATGGCCTGAAACCGAGGGCATAACAGGCTATGCAATCCCACGACTGAAAACTGTATTCATACCCCATGTTCCGAGTGAATCTGATCAAATAATAACCGATAGATGGTAGCTGAGGATGAAATATATCCATCTCGAACAAGGGGGCTATACAGGTTTGCTCGGTTAAAAAGAAAATCGATAGAGAAATTTGGGCAGATACAAATCTTGTTGAATGATTCAACGGCAGGGAGGTGAATGGAGTTAAAAAGACTTACTTTGGCTCCTTCAAAATGCATGATAAGTCTTACTTCTCCCCCGTATCTGCAACCGAAACAAGGGATGCATATAAGTAAAACTATAATACGAATTTCAATCACTAGCGGTATATATTCTTCTTAACCAAATGGCTCATCACCAGTGGAATGTGCCCAAAGTCGGTCCAGGAAGAGATCGCCATCAAACCAAACATGTTTTCACATCAATTGAAAGAGAAATTTAGACATTTTGTGCATTAGAGCAGGCTTGGGATTCCACTAAACTCAAAACAGTTAAGTGTGTCTATGCATATAAGCAGATGACAGAAAGACCTCCATACCTTAGAAGAATACAAATAAACAAGACAGGCTATCTTTTCGACCAATCTTCAAGATCCGACAGGGATAAAAAAAAGAGAGCATAAAACTTCATAACGAGAGCACGAAAGACAAGGATACAGAAAGCAGACAGAGGAAAAAAACATAATCAAGAACACAACCTGTTAAGCGTTGTACTCTGCTGTTACCTAAACTTCTAAAGAACCTTGCAAGAAATCAGACACATCAAGGGAAGAGCAAAAGCACTCAGTGGCATGCAATTATGGATCATCGTATACATGAAATTCGAGTGTACAGAGACATCAAGAACTAGTAATAAAGGAAACAAGGCTACAAGCCACGGCTTCTCACCTCCCAGTTTTAGTCTGTAGAGTCCAGGTGCAGTCCTCATATCCCTGGGAAAGAACCTTCTGCAATGGAATCCTGATCACAAACAAAACAAACAGATCCCATAAACTCAAAGATCAAACCCTAAATGCAGTGTCCATCTAATACGAGAAATCTCTTATCAGTCGCCGTTACATACGTTGCGTTACCGATGAAATCATCTGTAGTCAATGTATTGCTGTTCCAGACAGCAACCTTAACGTCCCTAAGACCTTCTATCAGAGTGAACATAAACTTTTCTTGGAATGTAGGGTTCTTTCCACCATCTGAAACCAAACCCAAGTTCAGATTTTCAGTGCATCAGACTAATTTAACCCTAAACAACAAAAATTTAACAAATTTCTCGTTCAGAGTTCGGATCTGGGAGACCCCCAAAGAAGAACCAAACCTGTGCAGGTTCTTGTCCGGTGTCTCGTGCCACCATACTCAAGGCAGACGTACGGATCTTGCCTTGAAATCCACTCCGTGTCTTTCAATTTCTGACACCCAACAACTGAAGAAGAAAACAACAAAACAACAACAGCAAAATCGAAAAAGTTTTAAACTTTTCGGAAATCGAACAAAAGGGTATTGATCATCGGAGAAAAAAAAAACGAAGAACAGAACAGGGAATCGAGAGCGACACCAACCAGTGATCTCAAGAATCTGCCCTTGAATACCCATAATCGATGTTGAAGAATCTTCAGGATTTGCTTCGGAAACAGAGGGTTAGTAGGGTCTGAGAAAACAATCGAGAGAAGCAGAGAGATGAAAAATCGATTTGATAAATGCCGTCGCTTTTATACAAATTCCTTTGATTTTGAATTACGCTGATTGCTTAAGAACGAAACCGCGACGCGTTTGGCTGACCGAAAAGTTGACATTTTTATTAAACTCTTTTTTTCCCCCGACGACTATTAGTTTACGCGTATTTTAAAAGCAGGAAAATGAATAAAAATCAAATAAATAAATTAAATATATAAATTATTTCGTTTTTTTTTTATGTATATAAACATACATTTGAATCATTTGAAATTGTCCATGGCGAATATCGTAAGTTGACTTGGACCGATTATGTATTTCTGAATGTTGGCGTACGCTGAGTACATGATTTGCTAAATTAATTAGTGATATTGGCCTATAATAAGCTAATAAAATATATTAATATATAAAATAGGGTTGGATTCTTCCATTTATTAAACAAACATATTGTAAGTTAGTTTTAAAAATGTGCATGCAAACAAGCAAACAGGTTTTCTCGTACATTTATCTCATTTAAAACCTAACGAAACTATTTTACTGAATTTAAATATATTAAACAATGCGTTTTACAAATACACTATAAACACTGAAATTTATGTTTTTTTTTTAATTTAAAAATAATTCACTCAAAAGCTTTTATCTTTTAATTTTATCAATTCAAATTTACACACAACATTTATCCTGTAACTATAATAGCGATGGCAACCTACTGGCCCATATACGGCCCATATTAGGGCCCATTATAAAACATCGAATCTTCCTTTCCCGGGGGAAAATTATACTATGCAGGGGCGACCACCTAATACACTGTGCTCCCTTCACCGACAATCTCTCTCTCCCTCTCACGTGATTTCGTAACGTAACGCTTTGGTGATCACGTGCACCACGTGAGAGAAAGAAGAGAGAAGCAAAAGCATACGCGCGAATTAGCTTTCCTATCTGTCTGCCACGTCAACATCGATCGGACGAAGCTTCTTCGATAACCTTATCCATGCGCGCTCCAATGCTCCAATCATTTAGCGCGTGGCTTTCACACGTTGACCTATGCGCGTCTTTTTACGTGAATTTTTTTGTAATTCCCCCACTAATCACTCTTTGCACTCCATAATACTTTTATCCGCATATAATCAATTAACTTAATAAACAATGATGGTTTCATTAGATAATCTCGAGTTCGTACTCTGTTTTTGCACTTGAGTGTTGACTCTAATTTTTTTTTTTGGTTAAATTAGGTGAAGATTTGTGATTATATTATTTTTGTTATTGTTTATGATAATTTATTAACGTACAGTAATTTTGAATACATGAAAATGGGGGGAAATAGTGTAAAGCCACGATGCAGTGTCTTCACCGACACATTTTCGCAACTTTTTCTAAAGAGAAAATAAAACACGAGTTTTTTATATATATAAATTTCTAGAGAAATTATTTCGAGCTTTCAAGTGTACCGAACTCTTTAATTTCCATGGCCTCGAAAGGGGACAACGCTCAATGTATTAAATTAGATGTCCACGGCGAAAACAAAATAAAATCGAGCTTCTATGTAAGCCCGGGCGAACATTATGGATTTCAAAATGTATATTTTTTAGTCTTAAAAAAATCATATCACTATATTTTATATTATGATCTAATTCATATTCAATTTTATTTTATTGTTTATACAACTATATTTTAAAAATTTATTGAGATTCTTTATATTTATTTGGGATTTTTAATATTTAACTATTTCTTAAAAATGGTATCTAAAATTTATTATTAATATCAATTGTTTTTTTTAATTAAAACAGTTAATTCGGGATTTACCTCCTTTTAAAGTAAAACCTGGACGCGAGGCCAATTTTTAAACAAGCGGCTAGAAAATCTCTTATTGTCATCGAAGAATCAATCTATTCAATTTCAGTATAAATACATTGAATTTTTTATATTTTACTCATTGAAGGTTCGAAAATTTAAACTTTTTTACATTATACTCGCAGATTTTTCCCGACAACCGACATGACATGCAAGATAACATAAATCATCATAAGCTATACTTTTATATCCCAAATTTGATGCTTTTCATCAATGGCTTGAGATTCGATTCGATTCCATGCATTTTTTCGTTCAAAGTTTGTAACTTTTGTTTCAAAAACTTGAAAAAAAAAAACTAAATTAAAACATTCGAAAACTAAGTTAATTACAAAAGAGCCCTCAGGGACCCGAACTCCATCAGTCATCGTCAACAGACTCAACACCACCGTCCTCGTCATCGCCACCAGTCACCGGCGCGAAATTCTCGGACAACCCTTTCGAGTTCCGACAAAACATCACTTCTTCAGGCGACCCAGCTCCACCTTCCTCTGCCGCCACCGAGAAATGCGCCAATTCTCCGACGACCTCCACCAGTTTCTCCTTGCAGAGAAACTCCTCACTGTAAACTCTCTCCACTTTTCTCCCGAACTCGTGCACGAACACATCCGTTTTCTTCTTGCTCTTCACATCTCTCTTGCTCCTCGCCAGGACTGCCGCCGTGAAGATCGCCGACATCCTCCCCGGGGATTCGCCGGAGAACCCACTTGGCCCGTCGACCAGAATCACATCCCAGTCGGTTTCGTAGACGAAATTTGGGAGATCGTTGATGCCCAGCTTGCAATCTGAGAACAGGAGGTTCTGAACCGGTCGGCACTCGTGTTGTGTCCTGTAATAACGGAGGAGCTCGCCTGCCTGAGAGACCCTGGTGGAGAAAACGACGTCGTAGGCCTCGACGCCGGGATTCGCCTGCTCGAACTTGGAGACGGCGTATGAGTTTTCGTCAACGAAAACGGTCCTGCCGGCGAAATTGATGGACCTCCAGAGGAGGGATTCGTGGCTTAGACCGAAGACAAGGAGGTTACGGCCGGAGACGGAGCGAACGGCGGCGGAAACGGCGGAGAGTTCAGAGAGGGACATGGAGGAGTTGGAGGCGGAGACGGCGGCGTAATGGAGGAGTGCGGCGGCGACGTGAGGAGGGAATGAAGGGGATGCGGAGGAGGCGGAGGAGGAGGAGGAGGAAGAGGAATGGAGGGAGGAGGAGAAGAGGGTGAGGGAGAAGGCGATGGTGAAGAAGGAGAGGAAGAAGAAGAACCAGAGACGGTGGTGGGTTGCAGCGGTGGCGGCGGATTTTGAGGTGATGGAAGGATGGAAGAGTATTAGCTTCGTGTTCGTGTTACTCTTCATTTTTTGTTGTTGTTGGATCTGTGTTTGCTCCAGTGTTCACCAAAAACCTCGCTTTTATAATTGCAAGAATCTGACTCGGAAACTGACCCAATCGACTTTAAGACCTTTGGTTCTAATTACAATTGTTTTCTATATGATAGTATCAAATTATATTCTTTTTTTTTTACTTATCTAATTATAGTATATATATATAATAACGTATTAGTAAAAATCCAAAATAAACCGGGAACTCATTTGAACTAAAAGTGTTCCGGTTAACTGTTATAAAAACTCAGAGAGCAAAATCTGCAGTGTTAAAAATAAAAAAACTGAAACAGATGTTGCAGAGGTGGGCCCCATTTTATATATATTTTTTGTTTTATTTTCAGGACTCTTTAATTTAAAATTAGTTTTTAATATATTTCTTTTTCCGAAGTTTTGAATTAGATTCGAAATCAATGGCCGTGAGTGTTATTTCTCCTATTTTGCCATATCGTATTACTATTTTCCAAATGCAAGAGTTGTTGTCTTGATTAGGCTTTACAGATTTGGGAAATTCTTGTGTGGCTTTTCCAATTCGGACAATTACTTGTGTGAGCCATTTACTTGCCATTTTTTCCTTTGTTTTTTCCAATTTCTTTCATTTTTTGGCTAAAAATTAAATGTTTTTTTCTAAAGTTTATATCTCAATGTTAATTTTTTTTTTCTATCCAAGTCACTTTAAGACTAAAGAGGGTGAAACAATTGAGAATATATTTATTTTAATAACATATTTGAAAACTAACGTTTTTATCAATAGAATAGAATCTAGAACAAAATAAGAAAGGAAAATTCTCAATTCAATTGGAAAATGATAAATCTATCTATAAGAGGTTTTAAGTTCGATTTTTACTGAGATTTATATTTTTTTGTGAGTCGATCTGTTTCAACTGGTTTATTTGATCCGTGTAGTTTACCAACTATTGCGCGGAATCGGTGGTTTACAGGCCGAGACGTCGTTCGGCCTGTGAAACCGAACGGTGTCCGTTTCGAAGACTGTGCGATGGGTTTTCCTACGTTATAACAAAAAAAAAAGAACAAAATAATAACGGAATTTGCACATGTAAATGTAATTATTTTAAAATTGAAAAAAACAATCCAAACTCTAATAGTTGTGATGGCCTTACGTTTTGGCGGAGTGAAAGGGCTGATGATGATGACCGACACTTACGGCGACGTTTTATGTCTTTTGTTAATAAATTAAACATGTTCCCTCCACGTTGACTTGTTTCGAATTCTCTCTCTCTCTTAAAGAAAAATAAATCCAATTATCTGAGTTTTAAATATATATATATATATATATATATATATATATATATATATGTTACGTAATCTCTATGTAAGTTTCTCTATATTCACCAAACCGTAGAAATATTTTATTATTAACATTGTAAAAGTGTGTTGATGATGTAATGCTTATGGGAGGGACTACATTCACTAATACAAACTTTTAAAAAATTACAACAAATGAAAAATAATGATATACCATTTAACAATTATCACAGGCTGTATAAAATAAAACAAATCGGCATTTATAACGGGAAATAAATGTTTCAAGCCAACACTGTTGCTTGGGCCATTTGCACCAACTCGACTAAACGCTCTTGCAATATAATTTTAAAATTTTCAAAAAATATTGTTTGTATTCCTATAATTTAAAAATACAATCATGTAATTAATACATATATCTAATTAATAAAGATAATATCCTATATTTAAAACTTAAAATTCAAATGGGTACGGTGACATTTGTGTTTGTCTCCTACTTTAACATAGAAATATAAAGTATTTTACATATTCCTTATACCATCGATTATCAATCATTGTCCACTAACTAACTACCATAAACCAATGCAATGTAGAATCGTTTATTTGAACATCGTTAGGGTTTATTATGAGATGCGTACCAAATTTACCATTTACTAATAATTGCATCAGAAAGTTAAAAAGTAAAAAAAGAGGTTAAATTAATAGGTAAAAAAGCAGCAGGAAGTACAATCGGTGGATATAAGTTTTCAATGTTTCAATCATAATATATAGAATGTTGTATAAATATACTAGGAATATAATATATAAAAATTAATTTCTCTTAATATCTGAAAATAGTTTTTTTTTTACTTTGAAAAGAACCCTTTTTAGATTAATTTTGTCTCTTAATATATGAAAATATTATTTTATGTTGAATAAATATTCTTTTTATGCATGGAACAAATACAAAATCAGCTAAGGTTTAAAAGGATTTGAAAATTACGTTATAGGTCACACACACACAAACACATATGTTCTTAAATATTTTAATACATAGGCCTACATGGTAACAATATTTAGAAATTTTATTTTTTTAAATGATGAGTAAAATTATAAGTAAATTTTAGAATTTTGAGAATTGTAACCGTCGATCTCTCGATAACCGAACCCGACCGAAACCGAAATAACCGAACCCGACCGATCGCCCACCCCTAATGGGCAGTGAAATTCCTTAGCTTTCACACGTTCTTCTTCCCCTCTACATCGTACACGGCGAAGCTTTTGGCTAAAAGTTTTTTTTGAGAATAACAATGAGGCAGAGCAGCAAGTTCATGGTTAATTAGGGTTTCATGGTTTGTTTCCGGATTTGTACGTGGCAGTCCTCGGATTTCTCCCTAATGGATTATTTGCATGCAGAGATGTTTCCATGAGGCCAGCACTGGATGACCAAGTGGTTATGGGAGCTTCACATCCACGGTTCGAGCCCAATGCTGGCATTCACAGGCATTTTACTGAAATCACCCATTTGAGTTCGTATGAATTTCGCGGATACACCACAAAAAATATAACGTATTAAATTCTCTCTGAAAAGACCACATTAGTCTTAATGATTCATTGTAATTTGTTCATTTAAAAAAACGTTGTCATTGCGGCATCATAATTAATTCTAAATACAGTAGTAATTGATTCTAAATAAGGTGGCAAAATATTCATCTGTCAAATTTTAAAAATAATTACGTTTTTTTTTACACTTACATCTGTCGTACGATCATAAATACTTTTTATTTTAGTCATATACTAGTTATATACTAATCGCAATAAAATATCGTAAAAAATGTGAGAGAAAAAGTGATGTATAAATTGTTAAAAAAATCACTTTTTTAGGTGATGTATCCGATGAAATTCATACCGCCCGGATTTTTCTGTCGTAAATCCATCGCAAAACGCAGATTTTTTATTTAAAAAAAATAAAAAATATTTGCGTCGGATTTTTCTGTCGCAAATCCATCGCAAAACGTAGATTTTGTCCATCGCAACTTTGCGACGGATTAACGACCGTCAAACTTTTGCGACAACGATATATGAACGAAAATTATTCCACCGTCGTTTTCTATCGCAAATTTGTAATTCTCGGACTGTATGGACGCAGTTTCTCAGACCTGTGCGGAGTTTCTTGGACATATTCGGATTTTTCTCGGCATGATCAGAATTTCTCCGACCATTCGGGGTTTCTCGGACTGTAGGGGGAACTATAGGGTCGTGGTCGGAGAAATTTCTCATATGAACGGAGTTTTTCGAACATGTGCGGGATTTCTCTGTGCGTAGTTTCTCGGACCTGTGCGAAGATTCTCGGACCAGCGCGCACCGAGATGTGCGGAAAATCGAAAAAATAAAATCCATCAAACATTTTATGTCCAAATGAAATGAGATTTATATCACAACATAAATATGAGAGGTAGAGGCTACCCAATAAGTTTCGCTGAAAAATTCATTCGTATGTAATTACTATAAATTATCGACAATATTTGGTAAAATATTCGGAAAAATAGTTCCGATACTCGGAAAATTATGAAACTTTGCCACAAATAAGATCATACCACCATATTATCGCGTACAAAAAATCAGATCAAAATTTGAAACAGATTTTTTTCTACGGCCGTACTTTTGCTCAAATATTTCGATGTTTCTTCGTGCCATAAGTGTTTTGGCAAATAAATCTACATGGGGTGGGGAAAGGGCCAAAATATAAAAGAGATGAGAGATGGGAGACAAATATTTTTTTTAAATTAAAAAATAAAAAAAATATTATATATATACACGTATATACATATATTCACAAAGAAAACTGTATCCACTGTGCCCACGACGAAAACCAAGCAGACATGGTATGGTACCCCGGACACCCGCACACTGTGTTACAGTATCACTTGGAACTTTATTTTAAATTTTTGTAGTTTATTTAATCTTTTTTTTTTAACTCTATGTTTGAATTTCATTTATTTCAAGTACTAATTAAGAGTGTGATAAAAGAGTTAGAAGAAATCCGATTTTCAAAACTAATCCGATTTGGTTCCAATACAATTGGACGAAATCTAAAAAAAATCACCGAATTCAAACCAAACCAAATTTAAATAAAAAATGTATGATATTTTTTTTTTGTTTTTAAATTAAGTTGGGTAGGTAACCCAAAAAAGAATCCTTTAAAGACCACGTTATATATAATACCTACATTATACCGTGACAAGGAAAATATTTATAAAAGCTAAGAAAAAAAAAGGAACCAATTATTTGTTTCGTCTTGTCTCTGCATGAAGCTCCGAATACGTTTCAGCATATTTTCAAGAATCTGGATTTCTCTCTGAAATCGAAAAAATGAGCACTGAAGATTTCCAGAAGCTCCACATCTGTTTCTTCCCCTTCATGGCGTATGGACACATGATTCCGGCTCTGGACATGGCTAAGCTTTTCGCGACACGAGGGGCGAGATCCACCTTCATCACCACCCGTCTCAACTCCGAGAAATTCAACAACTTGAATCGTGGGCTCGAGTTAGAAATCAAGATCATCGATTTCACCTTCGCTCAGCTTGGATTGCCTCAAGGGTGCGAGAATGTGGATTCCATCATCTCGAAGTGCGGCGAGGATTCAGACGATGTGGTTCTTGTTGAAATTAAACTTGATTTAAAAAAAAAATCAATTAAATATTTTAGTATGATTATGAAAAATGTGATTAATATGAAAAGTGTGTGAAATGTGATTAATGTGTTAGTGTGTGAAAATGTGATGGAATT